ATGAAAATGATGTAGATAATGTATCTACACCATGAAAATGATGTAGATAATGTATCTACATCATGAAAATGATGTAGATAATGTATCCACGTCTTGAAAATGAGGTAGATGATGTATCTACGTCATTAAACTGAGGTAAATAATGTATCTGTATCATGAAAATGATGTAGATAATGTATCTACACCATGAAAATGATGTAGATAATGTATCTACACCATGAAAATGATGTAGATAATGTATCTACATCATGAAAATGATGTAGATAATGTATCTACGTCTTGAAAATGAGGTAGATGATGTATCTACGTCATTAAAATGAGGTAAATAATGTATCTGTATCATGAAAATGATGTAGATAATGTATCTACGTAATGAAAATAGGGAGGAAAATGTATCTACATCATGAAAATGATGTAGATAATGTATCTACATCATGTTTATTGAGATAGATAATGTATCTAATTTATTAAATAGAAGTAGATATTGTATCTACATCATGAAAATGAGGTAGATAAGGTATCTACGTAATAAAAATGACGTAGATAATGTATCTACGTCATGAAAATAGGGAAGAAAAAGTATCGACGTTAGGAAAATCCCGTAGATAATGTATCTACGTTATAAAAATTTCGCATATAATGTATCTACGTTTGAAAAATAACGTAGATAATTAATTTATGTTAGACAAATAACATAGATAGCATTTGTTTTATGGAAATTTTCATTAAAATAACCTCTTTATCTAACTAACGGGAATATCTTCTAAAATTTCCAGGTCCATGAGGCCCATATTGACAACAACATCATCAAATCGAAAATGGAAATTGATCCCACGACACAAATGGATGCCGGTGAGTATAGATGACCATAACTTCAACAAATCCTTAAGGGAATAATCTTCTCCTTTCCAATCCACAGGATACTATGAATGTCAGGCCGACAATATTTATGCCATTGATCGGCGCGGCTTTCGAACGGATTATGTGATGGTGAATTTTTGAAAAAAACATCTTTTATTATTTTTTTACATTTTGTATACAAAGCAAAAACTTAATAAAATAAAAAATTAAAATGTAGAAAATTCTAAAGAAATCGAATTACAACTATCAAGCCACGTTTTTTTTCTGATTCATTGAATTAGAATTTATTATTTAAATGTTTTTAGGGAAAGGTGAGAAAATGTATTATTTTCATTGCATTGGGCGCCATTGTGGGGACAAATACCGTATTTTCTGGAATTTCATCAATCAAAAGCTGCTATATGCATGCATGCCCGCCATCCACCATCATTTGGAGGAGATTGTGCCTTTTGCAAGTCTCTGTTGTGGTTGTTGTTATTATTATTATTTTGTAACGAAAAGATTACCTCAATTATTTAATTTAAATGCGAGAACTATGAGACAAACAAACAAATAAATACAGCATTCGAAAGAGTGCAAAGACCGAAGAGACAGATAGTTTATGTGTGTGTGGGAAAAAAGTAAGAGTTTAAAAAGCCTAAATGCGACATTTGCAGCAAATACTGCGCAGCAGATATGGACACAACATAGCCCACAGCATTTGAATTGATACTGAATAGGGTTTTTCTAAATCAGGTTTTTAATAATGGATTTTTTCCTCTTCGAATTTATTTATTTTTCCAAGGAAAAATTCTAGTATAACAGTTTCAATGTGCAGTATAACAGTTTTACAATGCTAATACAATAACTTAGTGCAGAACTCGAAATTTCCCAACATAACATCGAGTATAACAGTTTGTTGTAACAGTATAACAGTTTTGTATGACATTTTAATATGATTTTTTTTGGGATCTCTTCTATTTTAGAAGAACATTTATGCTCAGGAGATAGAATCACACATTGGTACTCAATGTTTTTGTAAAAAAAACTTAGTATAACACATAAAAACAGCTGTATAACAGTTTTTGAACACAGAGAAATGTATTAAAGCGCTGTATTATTGTTCTCCGAATTGCAGAAATTCCATTAACAGAAAAAATTTAGTATAACAGTTTACTAATGTAGTATAACAGTTTAAAAAACGAGCAAAAAATGTATGTTTTTCAAAACATTGCAAATATATTAAAAATCTGGAAAAAAAATAACTTGTATAAATAAATTGTATAAAAGTTTGAAAATACCTCAAATGTTTTTAAAATTACCTTTTTCTCATAAAAATGTAGAGAATAAATTTCCTAAGAATTCTAAAAAAAGAATAACTTTCTAAAAGAATGTATTTCTGTGTGCATTTTGTTGTATAACAGTTTAGTTTTAAAGGAAAAAGGTTTGCAAAAAGTGGCTTCAAAAATTATAATTTGTTGTACGAAGAATTCCAAACAGTCTTTACACTCTCAAATTGCACAATTCTGAGTCAATTATGCTGTATAACAGTTTAGCTTTCTTGTATAGCAGTTAGAAAAACCAACAATGGTGATTTAGCTTTTAACTCTAGGTACTCACAACAGGTAAAAAATAGCAAACTTTTGTGTGAATAAAGTTGTATAACAGTTTAGAGGTTTTGGATAAAAGTTCCAATAGCCTAAAAAAATATATGAATTATATTTAATATTTATAAATTAATATTTATAAATTATTTTTCTTCATACATTTCTCCAATTTTCTCGTAATAAAACAAACATTAATATTTCATGATAGATAGAACTAAATTGTATCACATTTAATGTGTATAACAGTTTGTTATATTACTATAACAGTCAGAATTTTGGACAAAAATTGTCTTTACATATCCATTTAGAAAAGAAAATAATACATTTCTTAGTTAATCTTGTAGTATAACAGTTGAACAATTTTTGTATAACAGTTATAAAATATTAATTTTTGTTTTTAATTGTTATTCCTTTATAATTTGAGCCTCATTTTAACATATTTATTGAGTATAACAGTTTGCTATGTCTGTATAGTTTCAACTTTAAAAAAATTGATCTGAACCACTTTTAATTTTAATTTGAAGACTAAAGGAATGCATTTTGATGAGAATTTCGCTGTAAACCTCCTATTTTAATGAATTTGCTGCATATAACTGTTTTTTTTTTTTTTTTTTACAGTATGACAGTTACATACGAAAAGAAAAATGTCAAAAAAATCATATTATTTGCATTTCAACAAAAATAATTCATTTCTAAGTAAATCTTGCCGTATAACAGTTTTAACGTTTATGTATAACAGTTGCAAATAAATATTTCGAAACCCATTTTTTCACTTTTCCACATTATAATACTCAAATTGTTAATTTTATGCAATTGAAATGAAATTTTAAGTAATTTTTGGGTGTATAACAGTTTTTCATAACAGTATAACAGTTTCAAATTTGAAAAAAATGGCTTAAAACACCCCTGATTGTTATTTGAAGACTGAAAATATGCATTTCAGCAAGAATATTGTAGTATAACAGTTTAAATTTTTTTGTATAACAGTTAAAAAAAATACAAGTTATATTTCCTTCAAGAACACATATTGTATACAAACTTTCCCATAATTTGTTGTAGTATAACACTTTTAATAAATGCAATTACGGGCTAAAATTGTGAAATCAAAGTCCAAATATTAAGTCTGTGTGCAGCCACTAATGAATTCTGGAAAAATCCCCAAATGAATCCCACACACATTTTTGCATAATTCCTCTTTTCTCCACAATACTCAAATTGTTAATTCTATGCAATTTAACTGAAATTTTTAAGAATTTTTTGTGTATAACAGTTTTTTGAACCAGTATAACAATTTCGAACTTAAAGAAAATTGCCTTAAAACACCTATGATTTTTATTTGAAGGCTGAAAATATGTATTTCAGCAAGAATATTGTAGTATAACAGTTTAAAATTTTTTTTATAACAGTTTAAAAAATCCAAAAAAAAAAAATATTTTATTTATGTGGTACACAAAAATTCCCATAATTTTTTTTTGTAGTATAACACTTATAATAAATGCAGTTACGGGATAAAAATGTGAAATCAAAGTCCAAATTTAAATCTGTGTGCAACCACTAATGAATTCTGGAAAAATCCCCAAATGAATCCTACACACATTTTGCATAATTCCTCTTTCCTTCACAATACTTAAGTTGTTAATTCTATGCAATTCAATTGAAATTTTAAAGAATATTTGTATATAACCGTTTTTATACCCGTATAACAGTTTTAGATTTTGATGAAAATTGGCTTAAAACACCCCTGATTTTTATTTGAAGACAGAAAATATGCATTACGTCATGAATATTGTAGTATAACAGTTTAAAAAATTTTGTATAACAGTTTAAAAAATCCAAAAAAAAATATTTTTTAGTTCTACTTTCTTCGAGAACACATGGGGTACACAAACTTTCTTAAAACACCCCTGATTTTTATTTGAAGACAGAAAATATGCATTACGTCATGAATATTGTAGTATAACAGTTTAAAAATTTTTGTATAACTGTTTAAAAAATCCAAAAAAAATATTTTTTAGTTCTACTTTCTTCAAGAACACATGGGGTACCCAAACTTTCCCATAATTTTTTTGTAGTATAACACTTTTAATAAATGCAATTTCGGGCTAAAAGTGTGAAATCAAAGTCCAAATTTAAATCTGTGTGCAAGCATTTATGAATTCTGGAAAAATCCCCAAATGAATCCCACACAATTCCTCTTCCCCCTCTCCATCCACAATGTTCTATAAAATTGGCCGGTATTCCCCAAAAGAAAAATAAAACTGCCCAGACTAATGGGAGCCACCATACATATGAAGTAGATATTTAATACCGGGTTTTTTATGAGCTAAGGAAAGAGTTAAATTTCTCATGTGAGTTATTTATATTTCATATTAATCTAAAGAGAGGGAGAGAGAGAAAAAGAAATGAAATTTAGCTCAACATCGTATCCCCCAAAGAGCTTGAGTTAATGCTGCAATGCTGTTCTGTTATGCCTGGGGGTGAGCAGCAAATTCTGAGTGACAAAACATCGAAACCTCCATGGATGTTTAGCTTTTTCGGGTAGATCATGGGCTAGATTTGCCATCAAATGTTCAGTTGCAAAAAGGAAATCCAACAGTTCAAAACAAGAATAAGTAAAAGTCGGCAAAATCTGAGCAGTTGGCCCTCCATCACCAGAGTGTAGATCACAAAGAGGAACGTGTTGGCACTCAAGTTAAAAATTTACGAATTTCGCAACAGAAGAGAAGAGGAAATTTTGAAGTAGAAATTGAAAAAATTACAAAAATAATTTGGGGAAAGAAAGAAGAGAGAAATGTATTTGAAAGTGGTGCTACTGTGTCTGTGCATATTGATCTTGACCAGTCCCATAACGGAGGGACGACGTGGCCGTGGCAGAGGCCGTACCAAATCGAGGGTACAAATTGGTCTACCCATAACGGGAAAATACAGAGATCCTGAATCCGATCAATACTACAATAACAATAATGTAAGTCATGAATCAAGCCATGAAATTTGAAAACCAAAAACTAAAGTCTACTTTTAGGGAGCCAAAATTTTACAGGCCTCTCACTTTGATTATGAATATGTTTTGGGCCACAAAATAGCCTTTTTGTGTGTGGCCAAGGGCAATCCCAGACCTCAGATCACCTGGTACAAGGATGGTACCGAAATATTCCAGCATCTCTACATGCATGTAAGGCGATGAGAGATTTGAGAAAATTTTTTGAAAAATAATTTTCATTTAATTTGTTTGTAGGTCCATGAATGGCGCATTGGCGAGGATCGTGTTAAATCGAAAATTGAAATTGATCCAGCCACCCAAATGGATGCTGGCCTTTATGAGTGTACCGCCGACAACATGTATTCCATTGATCGTCGTAGTTTTAAAACAGATTTTTCAATTGCTTTCGATTAAACCCCGGAATGGCCATATTTCGAAGAGAAAGAGAGAGAGGATGTTACATTTTTGTTTTGTTGCCTTTGCTCACAATAACCCCACCAAATAATAAGAGAATGAACGAACCGCAAAATAACCCCCCAGGCCAGGCAATTTTCATATTGAGAGGGAACAGACACAACATCACAGCTTTGAACACTGGCCCCATAATGGGTGTTTGCTTGTGTGTCCGATTTGCTTTTTTTTCTTTTTGTATCATTGAAAAGAGTTAGTTTTAAGCTTTTAATTTATCAAAACATATCACCTTAATTTGTCCAAAGTTTAAATGGTTTTTGTACATGGGAAATAAGCTACTATTCTTTTGGGTCTCTTTTTTTGTACAAAAAAAAAAATAAAATAAATAAATTGAAAATTTTCTACAAAAAAAAAAAATGAAGAGAAATTATGCAAACAACCACCATGGAACTGCTGCTACTGCAAATGCTTTGAGGGCTCTCAAAATAATTTAAAAATAAACCGCACCGATTAACGAAAGAGGAAATTGCACAAAAGATACCGCATCCAAGCAGTTGATAGTCAAGAAAATGCTTGGAGATAATTTAAGTGATGACATGTGAATGGTTTGGGTTAAGCTGCGAGACCACCTGTCTCAAATTAAAAAATTAGAGATGGAATTATTTCATTAAAACTTGGAGGTGAAAGGGGAGAAATGGGGGAGAGTGGAAATGTCAGAGATAAACACAGGTCGATACGATAATATGTTAGGGTCGGGGATTTTTAAAAGCCTTTTTGTGAAGAGTTATCAGGGACCATAGTCGCGGAATTTTTAAAAATAATTATTAAAAAAATATTAAAAAAACTGCAACCTCGTGAGGTTCCTCGCTTCATTTCCAGCGCACAGTGGCCACCAAAATCTCCGGCTACCAATCCGTTGGACTATTGTGTCTGGAGTATTTTGTAAAGCAACGTTGGCACTAAAAAATAGCAAACGGTTGATCACCTTAAGCATGCGCTCCACCGGGAATGGGCCAAAATACCGTAGAGCAACATTCGGGCAGCATGAAGGCTATAATTCGTGCCAAAGGTGACTAATTGCTAAAATGCAAAAATGCATTGTGGCTTTTGACTTTGTTGCTGTTTTTTTATCTCACCCTGTATATCAGAGTCGTGGCTTTTGAAAAATGATTTTTCAAAAGATATCACAGTCTTGATTTTTTTTTTCAAAATAATTTTTAGACAGATATTAGAGTTGTGAATTTTTTTAAAATTATTTTTAGAGAGATACCAGAGTCCTGGATTTTTTAAAAATAATTTTTAAAGATACACCACAGCCATGGAAATTTTTAAAAATAATTTTAAAAAGATACACCGCAGTTGTGGATTTTTTAAAAATAATTTTTAAAGATACACCACAGTTGTGGATTTTTTAAAAATAATTTTAAAAAGATTCACCACAGTCGTGGACTTTTTAAAAATACTTTTTAAAGATACACCACTGTCGTGTATTTTTTAAAAATATTTTTTAAGATACACCACAGTCGTGGATTTTTTAAAAATAATTTTTAAAAATACACCACAGTCGTGGATTTTTAAAAAATAATTTTTTAAAATACACCACAGTCGTGGATTTTTTTAAAATAATTTTAAAAAGATACACCACAGTCGTGGATTTTTTAAAAATAATTTTACAAAGATACACCCCAGTCGTGGATTTTTTTAAAAATAATTTTTAAAGGTACACCACAGTCGTGGATTTTTTAAAAATAATTTTTAAAGGTACACCACGGTCGTGGATTTTTTAAAAATATTTTTTAAAGATACACCATAGTCGTGGATTTTTTAAAAATAATTTTTAAAGATAAACGACAGTCGTGGATTTTTTAAAAATAATTTTTAAACATACACCACAGTCGTGGATTTTTTAAAAATAATTTTTAAACATACACCACAGTCGTGGATTTTTTTAAAATAATTTTTAAAAATACACCACAGTCGTGGATTTTTTAAAAATAATTTTTTAAGAGATATTAGAGTCGCGGGTTTTTTAAAAATTATTTTTTAAATTTTAAAAAAAATATTATTTTTTAAAATTTTATTTTTACACATACAAACAATTTTGAAATTTTTAAATACTCACAGAATATCACCCCTCACAATGTCCACATAATCGGGAGAGCGAGCATAGTAGCCACCTTCTGATAGGGCACCCCAGAAATTACTCCACAGCTCATTGTATTTGGCAACAACGGGTGCAATGAATTGCCTACGAAAAAAAAAAACAGAAATTTAGTTACTATTTTACAATAACAAATAACAATTTAAGAAACTCACCGATCATAAGTCATCAATTCGCGCAATAGTTCTTTATCATCGACATGAGTATCGGCATCAATGAAGAAAATATAATCACTTTTCTTTTGTTTGGCTTGTTGGCTGAAATAAAATAGGGAAAAGAATATTTGGAAATTAAAAAAATGTAAAAATTGGTTTGAGTGGAAATTTGAGTTGCGGAAAAAGAAAAAAAAACACATCGGCCGATGACAAATATTAATTTTTTACCCACCTATAATCTCCGATCTTTTATAAAATTTTTAAATACTTAAAAAATGTGGAAATTTAAAGAATATATTTCTTGATCCCTCAGGTCAATAGACCTCCTTACCCTATATAACGCCCTTTTTATACCCTCCACCATAGTATGGAGGACATATTGAGGTTGCCCTTACCATCTTTTATAAATATTTTGAATACTTGAAAAATATGGAAATTTAAAGAAGATATTTTTTGATCCCTGTAACATAGCCCTAAGGTCAATAGACTCCCTGGCTCTATGTAATGCCCTTTTTATAACCTCCACAATAATATGGAGGGCATATTAAGTTTGTCATGCCGTTTGTAAAACCTCGAAATATACTTTTTAGACCCCATAAAGTATATATTTTCATGGTCAGCATACAAATCTATGTCGATTTAGGGATGTCCGCCCGTCTGTGGAACGAAATGAAGTAGCTTTCGAACGAAATGAAGTAGGTTGATAAAATTTTACTAAAATGTATATTATGTCTGCAGGACTTTTGGTATTGAAAATGGGCCATGTAGATCCACGTTTTGGCATGGCCCCCTATAATGGTACCTCCCGATATTCGGTATATTGATGAAATTTAGCAACATTATTCACCGGAATTGTTTCAAATTTGGTATTTGAAGTTCGTAATGGATACTACAGTCTATGACAGAAAATTGTCCGTGTAGGTCTACGCCTTCGTATAGCCCCCCTATAACTGCACCTCCCTATTTTCGGTATTTTGCTGAATTAGGCGACATTATTCACCAGAAATGTTTCAAATTTGGTTTTTAAAATTCGTAATGGATACTACAGCCTATGACAGAAATTTTGTCTGTGCAGGTCCACATCTTCGTATAGCCCCCATGTAATGGTACATCCCGATATTCGATATTTTGATGATTTGATTTAGACTCTGTAGGTGACCAACTTCCTCATAATAGCCAACTTCCTAAAAGCTATATATTGTGGGTCATTTCACAGATTCCCTTCTTTGTTATTACCTTTACCTTCTTTGTTATTACATATACAGAAGTGTGCTTTGAACCCTCCTTAAAACTATCTTCTTCAGTTTGTCTATCAAAAAGTCTTTTGATTCCCTGCAAAGCCCCATATTCGTCTATAACGAATTCCCTTCACCATGTGGGGCAAGTCTTAAGAATTTTTGGCTTTTCTGTAAAAACTTTTTCCTTCAGTTTATTCCTCGTTCTTAATTTTCAGAAATCACCGGTGTTTTTAGATTCCTTTCTGATATCTCTTAAACTCTCTAACATTCCTAAAGTTCCCCAATTTGTGAACTTTTTCATAGAGATTTTCAATTAAATTTTTCCCCTTGGTTTTTTAGTATAGCTTAAAACTCCCCTATTGAGTTTGAATATTTAATCGACCTTTGGTTTTCCATTAAGCCCGTTTGTTCACAGCTAAGTTACTAGCTCTTCTTTTATCGAATTTGTCTAAAAATTACCTTTGAGGCCCATTTCAAACATTCTTCTGTTAATTTCAAAGATTACCCTGTTGCCTGTTATTTTTAAATTCCTTTCTGTTCTCTTATAAATATTCTATGACATTTCCATAGTCTTTCAAATTTTCTCTTTAGTTCCATTTTTTTTTTTTTTCAAATAGTTTTCAGTACTCACACAGCCAATTGACGAGCCCTTCTTTCATCAAACTGATCGGTGGATAGAACAATTTTGGCCGACAAATATTCCTCTTCATATTTCTTCAAATGGGATTTGGCCATGGCATCCAAATACTCCACACCGCTGTAGATGAACAAATGCATGCGATTTTTGGGATAATGGATGTAGGCGGTGTGATTCAGGAACATATCAAAGAAAGGCACGGGTGTGATGCCAATCAAGGCCAAGGTAACAATGGGTAAATTCTTTTCCTGAAAAAAGAAAAAAAGAAAATAAAATTAATTTTAAACAGATCTTCCTCAACGTGGAGTACGACTTACATCCAATTTCAAACGATTCTCCTGGCATATCAAACACTTGTGATTATAGGTGTTGGCCAAATAATTGGCAAAGGCATTCAATTCCACTTTACTGGGACCATTGCCATGTATCACACTGGGTGTGGTAAGGAAATTGATATTCTTCAAGGTACCACGATTGGTATCCAAATCTACATCCAATTTTACATCATCCTTGGCCCCATTTAGATTTTGGAAGATATGAGATTCAACATCCAATTTCATGCCCAACTTCTCCCGCAATTCTTCATTGAGATAGGATTTGGTGTAATACAGCTGATCATCTTCTAAGTTTTCAATGCTAGGTTGCAACAATTGCCATATTTCGGGAGCATAACCAATGAAAGCACCAGAATTTAAATATCTTGAGGCTTTGGGTTCGACGGTGGGATATTTGGAGGCCAACTTTACATCAGGCCAGCAAAACTTTTCGGCCGAGAATAAGACGCGGGCACCGGTCTCTTTGAATTTTTTCACAATTTCCGTAAGGCGGGAGGTGAAGACAACATCGTAGCTGGAAATAAAAACACAAAAGGGAGATTAATAAAAAATGCTAAAAGAAAAACAAGTAAAATAGTATCAGTCGATTTTGCCGACAGATGTTATGACAGATATAAGTATTGGAAATTGTGACCCTGGGTGGGTGAGGTACCAGCAGGGGTTGGCAGATCTTGCGTTAGCAAATATATTTGGATTTGTGAAATGTGAAAAGAGTTGGATGCTTATTTCGCTTTTTTTTCAAAATCTTAAACCCTATGTGGGGGAAGTACCAGAATAAATGGTCCGATCTCTACCATCTTTATAGCAGAACTTGTGTTGATGGAAATATTTAGATATACTAAGTTTGAATGGAATCGGATGTT